ATGGCCCGGGACCCGCTGCCGCGCTCCCGGCAGCAGTGCGAGGGCGAGGCCGCGATCGAGGCGCGGAGCCCTCGGCGGTCGAGCGGGCCCGCCGCGGTCCGGGCCGTGACGCTGGCGGGAAGGGCCCGCTCCCGCTCGCCCGTGGTGCGGCAGCGCTCGCCTCCCATCGGCCTGTCGCCGCAGAGGACCGCTCGGGGGGCGGCGCTGACGCCGGCGGAGAGCCGGGCTGTCCGGCTGGAGGCCGAGATCCAGTGCGCGCGGATGCAGTTGGCGGAGGAGCTCGCCAGGCAGCGTCTTCATCTTCGTCGGAGGGCTGCGCCGAGCCCTGGCCACCAGGTCCTCCGACGCCGAGCAGGCGATCCAGGAGCAGGTGCAAACGATGATCAAGGGGACGGATCTGGAGAAGGAGATCTTGACGAACGAGCTGGAGGATATCAAGACGAACGCGCCGCAGGTGACGCGCATCACCCCGCTGAGCAGCGAGAGAGTTTCGGATAACGAGCCCACGAGCAGCGTCCAGGAGGCACTGCCGGACGGTATCAAGCAGGCGGCCGGTGCTTTCCATATCAGCTTCTACAAGCACGCCGATATCGTTTCGGGGCAGCCAGAGTTCGTGCCCGACTGGAGCGAATGAAGAAGCTCGAGAGCTCAGTCGTTTCCAGGGGGTCCGTCCAGGGTTCTCTGGCTGGTACCCGCAGTTGTATTTTGGAGGATGTGTTGCGCACCGGCCAAGTGGTGGGGGTGGATTTCGCGACGCTGGACTCGCAGGCGGGCTTGCCTGCGGAAGCGCCGTGCGAGGACTCTACTGAAGGCGATCTGCTGCACATGTGGTGGCACGAAAAGATCGTGCCCGTCGGCCTGCTCAAGTTCAGGGATGATTCGTTCCGGTTCCGGTCTGCGCGCGACGCTCGGGATCGGAACCTCATCTCTTCCTGCGTCGACGAGGCCTTCTCGCGAGGTGCTCCTCCCAGCGCGTTCGCGGTATCACCCGAGGGCTCGCATTCTGATCCCAGTCCTGCCACCATGGATGAGGAGATGGCGATGGAGGGGGAATGCCCCAAGGGCGACCGGGGCCGCCGAGGCCCCCTGAGGATGCGCCGCCACGGACAGCGACAACGACGGGCCTAGCTGAATCCTACGGGCCTTGGCGGGCCCCATCGGGCCCCGACGAGCCGTCGGAGCCTCCGACTCCGCCGCCGTCCTCGTCTCCGCCATCGACCTCGACGCCGCCGCCGCCGACCTCGACGCCTACGAGGTCTTCCAATGGCTGGGCGGCCGTCTGCCCGCGGCGCAGCGCAGCCTACAGTGAGGTGCTGGGGAAGGTGCGGGCCTTGGCGGCGGGCGGCATGGCCCTCGACGACGTTCTCGTTCACCTCGAGGCCGAGGCGCAGGGGCATCACCGGCGGGGCATTGCCGGGCGGTGCCGAGAGGCGGCGCTGCGCGGGCTGGCGCGCGCGCGCTGGAGCACGCCATTGACAAGTGCGTCAAATGTGTGGAAAGGACGTTCGGCGCATGCAAACTGAGCAAACACTACTGCACACATTGCGCTGTGCACTACATTGAGACCGAGGGCGGCCGCGTCCGGCTAGATCAGGATGAACGCGCTGAGCAGTTTCGTCCGATGCAGCACCCAGAACTCAGGGGCGCTGTAGCGGAAGACAGGGCAACGAAGGCCGTGTCCGACATGCTCATCAGTTCACGTGGTGCCGTGGCGCACGCATTACTCACCCAGGCGCAGTTGACGGCATGCGTAGTATCTTCACTGCGCGCGCAGGAACCCACAAACCTCCGAGCGCGACGACTGAACGCCGTCACGCGCAAACTTCAGCGAGGTCCAAATAACAATATATCAGCTCATGGCTCCAACAGGAGATGTGGACCTTCACGGTGACTCTGGACATCGTCGCTTTACTGGGGGCGACGATGACGAGGGAATGGGATATGGCATGCGATGAGCCAACCTTTTACTGCGCGGACATGCGCCTAGTGGCGAAGCAGTAGTACATCTGTTCGATGCATACTGCAAGTCGCATTGCTTGCAGGTGCGCCCCAGCTACGCAGCTGAAGCACTGGCAACCGCGCGTGATCTTGATGACTTGGACCCCGCTATAGTTGCGCTGGGCGAGCTTGAAACAGGACCCCTATCGCCCACTCAACTGAAGCACATTCTGGAGTTAGGTGATCTCAGCAGTAAGGCCATCCTTGCCATGGGCGCTGAGTCTGTCTTGTAATCTTTGTTGCGTAAGGACTTGAAGAAGCCTGCCGAACGCGCCCTACTGAGTCACATCAGCTGGATAAGACAAATTATGGACCGAGGTGTAGTTCATAGCGTGCAGTGGTGTGATGCACGGGACATAGCCGCTGACGGCCATGCCGAGGGGTGCATCGATCGCGCGTTGCTGCTGCAAGTAACGGAGGACAATCAGTCCTTCAAATGCGAAGTAGAGAAGCACATGTCTTTTCGGGGGAAGAAAGACGCAGCGCCAACATAGGGCGGGTCTTATTTGGGGCCAGCGGATATCAATGAGGACGACTACTCAAACACAGACAAGTAGTTGTCCTCGCCCGGACACGGACATATAGACCTACAAGTATACATATATATATACATATATATAAATAAATATTCGCCCGGCCACGGGCACACACGCACGCACGCACGCACGCGCGCATATTTATATATATATATATATATATATATATATATATATATATATATCCGCAGCTACCATGAGTGCTCGGACACGGGCATTCGTCTCTTTTAGTGATTGAGGGGATCGTCCGGCCCGCTGGCTAGGCCCCCCCTGAATTGTCTGCGGGTAGTTGCGCGGTCTTGCCCGTGACTGCCCATGGTCGTCTGCGGTTGGTCGTGGCAATGCGCCATGGCAGGCCCTCGTGCTCTGCGCTGCCCTTTCTGCGTTGCGTTACTGCATGTGGTCGGAAATTTTGAGAATCATTATCCCGATCCTCCTCCCCTGCTTGTTTGAATTAAGCAGGACTTGGATCGAGCGTTCGGTTCTTCCCTTTCCGAATTTACGCGAGGTTTAAGAAGAGGCTGCATAGCGAACGCTGTATCCGACGCTGTCTTGGCTTACGACAGCGCCGTCCTCTTTTGCTAGGTGCAGGACTCTGTGCGCCTCGATTGGGGTCGGAGCATCAGATAACAGGCCATGTCTATATATGATCCACCTCTCCATCCCATGGCTTCTCTCTTACCTCTCGTCATGTTTGCGTTTAGTGGGCGAGTTGTGGGATGTTTCGATACGTCGCCGACGTTATTCTGAGGGTGGGTTTTTCAGTTTATTACCTCATGGTTAAGCCCTGTACCCTTGCCCTTCACTCAACTTAGCCCGTCTCGGCACCATATTGGACCGTTTTGGAAACATTTGGCGACCTACTTGGGCTGGCCGTCTTGGAGGCTATCTTGGGCGTCTTCGGAACCATCCGAGACCGCACGGGGGCCGTCGTGGGGGTTTCTTGGGCCTTCATGCGGCCATCTTGGAGGCCTCTGCAGCGATCTTGGGGCGACCTTGGGGATCTGTCGGACCTTCTGGCGCCGTCGGAAAGCCGAAAAGGCGCGAAAGCCCAAATCCTTCAAACATTGAAAATCAATGATTTTGACCTCGTCGGCTCTTTTTGTAGATCCTCTTGGAGGCCTCTTCGGTCGTCTTGGAAGCCTCTTGGGAACGCCTTGGGCCGTTCTGGGGTCATCTTAGGCCGGCGTGGGTGCATATTGGGCCGTCTTGGCCACACGTGTCGGCCGTTCTGGGCTTTCTCAGGGCCATATTGACCTTACCGACGGGAGGTGCGTTTTCCAGTTGACCAGCGGGCTTGGCCGAAGTCCCACGGGGGGAGTTCTTTAGTCCCCCAAAAAAACATCTTGCCTGACATTTGGCGCGCCGTGCAACCCTGTGTCAAGCCACAGGGTGCTGCGGATGACGGAAAGCGCGCGTAGCGTCGCGATCGGTTAGCCGGGGGAAAAGCCAAGGGGGAGTGCGAGGGGGCTGGCCTCGGCGGGTCCAGATGACGGAAGGCGCGCGTAGCGTCGCGATCCATCCGTCGGGAGGAGTACCGAAGGGGGAGGAGGAGGAGGAGGAGGAGGAGGAGGAGGAGGAGGAGGAGGAGGAGGAGGAGGAGGAGGAGGAGGAGGAGGAGGAGGAGGAGGAGGAGGAGGAGGAGGAGGAGGAGGAGGAGGGGGGGGGGGGGCTGGCCTCGCCAGGCCCCGATGACGGAAAGAGCGCGCGTGTAGCGTCGCGATCCGCCAGGCGGGGGAGGTAACAAGCGAATAGCACTTGATGTGCCAGATATGGCCCTGGACGGCCCGAGTCAGCCCCAAGGGTGCCTCAGAGGGCCCCGAGACCGCCCAAGACAGCTCCAAGAGCGCCCAGGCTACTCCAAGATGGCCTCAGGGAAGCCTAAGAGGGCCCCGAGACGGTCCGAGAGCGCTCACAGAGGGCCCTAAATGGCCTCAAGACGGTGGTGGTGGTGGTCTCTGCGTAACGGGAACAAGTCCCGAGCAGAGCAACACTCACCGCGACCACGACAACGCCGACAACGACGACGAAGAAGACGAGGCGCGCAGACGATCCGCACCGAAGCACGGATTAGGGAAAGGGCCTACTTTGCAAGTTCGGTCAAACACCAAGGGGGTTCCAAGACAATGAGCAAGCCATATCGCCCCCTCAGAGTACGAGCGCGTTCCGGCCCCGTGCCAAGCAGGTGCCGGAAAGAGCGAGGTACCAGTGATGACGTTGAGTCGGGAACATGGGTCTAAAGGCCCTCCCCCCTCCAAAGAGGCCCACAAGACGGCCCAAGAGGCGTCCAGGACGGCCCAAGATACCCCCCAGACGGCCGAAGAGAGGTCCAAGACGGCTCCAAGACGGCCCAAGAGCGCTCAAAGAGTCCCCAAGACCGTTCCAAAATGGCCCAAGATGGCCTCACCTCAAGACGGTCCATGAGGGCCCCGAGACGCCCGAAGAGGTCTGCAACACAGGCTTCCCAAGAGGGCCCAAGGAGACAAAACTCATCGAGTGTTCGATTGCTTCTGACTGTTTTCCATGTCCTCGCCTTTTCGGGCCAAGAACGGCCACGGCCCTAGAGGCTCCACAGATCTTCCCAAGCTCCTCCAAGGCGTCCTGCACGTACCGACCTGTGTACTTCCCCCTCTCCTCCTCGTGAAGATGAACCAATGTATCGAGTGCCTCTGACCGCTCGTCCCAGTGCTTGTGGCCGTAAACAGACCGTTTCCCTTGGTGATCGATTGGAGGGTGCCAATCCCGTACGCAATCCGGTAGTCCACGAGGGTGGGCCAATTGTGGTGCTTGTAGAGGGCGGCCGAATGCTCGGCCATTCGGAGCAGCGCCTTCACGAGGGACCACCACAAGTCGCCCGGGCAAATCGCGACCTTGAAGCGTCCTCAGCCCCGTGTCGCTAACACCATCAGCTCGTTTCCCTTGGTGATCGACTGGAGGGTGGCAATCCGACCTGCCTTCTCCTCCTCCTCTCGCTCATTCCGAAGGTCCAGGCTGTGTGCGATGCCCGCCAGCAAGCCGGTGGCTGCGTCTCCTCCGAGGAGGTGGGCTTCGCCCCCCAGTGCACCGGGCCTCCTCGGTACTGTGGCGACCATGCTCTCCA